TTATTTAAAAAATAAATATTAGTTTGGTACTAGAATTTCAATAGTTTAGCATTAAATTATCAACTTACTTATGATAATTTAAATATTTAGTAACAGAATATTAATATATAAATTATGAATTACATATATATGTTGTATAAAAATATTCGAAAACATATGATGTCTTTAAATTCTTTGTTTTACAGAAAAACTTTTTTGTGCATAATATTGAATTTTGCTATAAGTTTTTCTGGAATACAAAAATAATAGAATAAAAAAAAATTTTTTTAATATTTTAAAGATCAGTAAATGCTTAAGAGAATAATTCATAAACTTTTAGTATTAATACTCATAACAAAAAATTTTATCATTTATAAAAGTGAAAAAGTTACATTTATAAAACTGAAAGAATCCTGTGACATATGATATGTGTAAATTATTCTTATATATTAACATTTTTATTGTCAATGAAAGTTTGACTTTTTAAAAAAAAGTTTGTAATTATATAACACACTATATATTTACTTTGCAGAGATCATTAATTCAAAATATATCATAAAGAAAAAGAAAAAAAGAAAAGAGAAGAAGAAGAAGAAGAGAGAGAGAGAGAGAGCAAGCGAAAGAGGAAGATATGGATGTATAAATTTAAGCGCAAGTAGTTTCAGACACGTGTAGTCAGACATAGGTTATTGACTTTGATATTGAACGTAGAGATGCTATGTTTATAAGCAGTTGCTTACATCACTAGCCGGAACTATCTATGATATAAACTCGTAATAAGTCATGTAAAATGTACCGCAATATAATAAAATAATCTTAATTCAATTACAATAGTTTTTAATTATATATTCTGATACACGTCATAATTTCATTCGTGATTAATTCAAGAATAGATAACTCTTCTAATTGCATGATAAATCGCACATGATGTGTTTAAAAATATTTTAGAACGCGATAAGTCCGTCCCTGATGTGGATGCTAATCATCTTGGCGAAGGGTGTCTGAAATTGTCGCCCCATAGCGCAACTCCCGAGCTCAGTAACCCTTACGATTCACCCTAACGGCTCGCTTAACCAAACAACCTTGATAAATTATGCAAAAATCAACAACACTACGAAATGCATCTCCCATGCTGTGGCTGGAACGACACGAATTTTCTGTTACGGAATTCTGAATCTGTTCGTTCCTGCTCCAGAGACGTAGCGAGAGCATAATTTCAACTTTAAACAAATCTTAATTAATTAGAAACGAAAATAATATTTAAAATAAACAACTCGGTTTAAATCTCCAATTTTAGGTAAATATAATTAATAGATATCTTCACATAATAATTATTCTTTTTACTGATGAACTCGTCAAAAATTCGGCGTTTGCCAAATAAAATTGTCAACTATTCACAGGAACTACAAGTATGAAACAGAGAGAATATATGCAAAATTAGTTTACAATTTTTTACAGAATATTCGCTACATATTTTGCGCTTTTATTAAAAAATTCTGACAAAACGTGATTTTATTACGGCACGCGTGGCAGCTACGTTAGAAACTTTCGTGTCATTCGTGTATCGACGCCGCGACGCGATGCGACGCGACGCGACCCGTCAAATCCGCGAACCAATAAATGAATATAACCCACGCGTGAGAATAAAATCCGTCGCTAAACTGCGCAACAGGTGTTAGAGGTTATTGACAATCTTTTCATCGGGATGACGGTGTTTGTGCGATATCTCGTCGAATATCGACACCGACGATGTTCCAGCGCACAAAGTCCGGCTCGATTCACTGTTTATTAAACCAGAGAGATAGATATTTTTTCATATTCAATTCTTTTTCGCCAGTTCTGTCGATTTTGGAGTTTTGAATTCTTTTTTTAGCATGAGGACAGACTTGGGATTAGAATAATTCGACAACGTATGCTAATAAATGTATTGACATTTTTATTTATCTGTGTTTCAATTAAATTATTTGAAAGTATCATTTTTGATTAGTGACTGGAGTCGAAATTTTTCTCTTACTTTTGACCTCAATGTTCAAAATCTAATATTTCCTTTCATATTTTAAGCAGTAAAATTTACTTTGAAATCATTTAATCTATGGTCTTATCAAAAGTTCCTTTTTTAAATCTCTAAGCAGGAAATTATTCATTTATTATTTATTTCAAATACAAAATAAGAACAATGTTATATACTTAATGTTTATATACTTCGTATGTAAATGAGACTTGTCAAAATCCATTGTGAAAAAATAAAGAATGGAAATACGAGCAAAATTTTAAATTCGATTTTAGCCTTTTTTACTACATATATACTACAATATTCGCGCAACGAATTTGAGGTAATAGCAGGTAATAGCACAATCTTTGTATCTTACTTTAAAAAACGATATTTTTTATGAACAATTATTAATTTGTGAAAAAATCAAGAAATTTGTAATAAAATATAATATATTTTTTAATTTATTTTAACTAATTGTAAGAAATTATTTTGTAGTAATTGAGGGCAATCGGTGCTCGGATTATATTTAACTTCATCGGACTTTCGACTTCCCACTGACACCTTGACATTGGTGGGCTCAGTATCTGGAAGGATTATTCTGAAAGGGAGGCCAAGTACCAAAACGGGTTTTTAATGTTTCGGATCGATCCGATTTCGGCAAATGCAAATTCAATTAGTAAGACACGATTTACATTTTTAAATAACATGCACGCAGTATATCTCGACAATATACAACATATAATATAAATTTTTGGCATTATAATTATTTGTAGAATAAATGCAAAAGATATACAATTTATAAAGTATATGTTTTATCAATAAAGTAAAAATAAATTTATTTTTAAAGAGAAATTATTTTTCAAGAAATATATTTTGCAGCCTTAAAATACGATGGGGCAGTTGACGAAAAGATAAGAATCATTTTCTTGCAATAATAAAAAAAGAAACATTATAAGAAATTTAACGAGATATTTCGTGAAAGGTTTTCCATGCGTGTATTGACGCATGCAATCTGCAGAAACCATTATTTTCAATGCAATTCTCTAAGTACAAGTTGTTCGTGGCGAGAAAATGGAGTTGTATGTATCTTCAATCATACCGGTATTCTCGGCATCTCTCCCTCTCCATCGGAGAGAAGCTGTTATCAATACCAGCGTCACGCTCTCGGCATTGTGTCTCCGTTCGGTACCGCCACGGGAGAAACAACGCGAACAACAACAACAAACAACAACAAACTAGCCCGCTATAAAGTCTGTCGCACGCTGTCCGTAGCTACCTACGTATCTACCTATCCGCGACCTGCTTTCCCGACATTGTCACCAGCCCATCTTCAGTTATCGCGCCGATTTATAGCCGTGACAGTTTCTATCTTGCCGCTATGGAAAAGAGAGAGACTCGTGATGAAACGTCGCAATTAAACGCAGATTTCAAACCAAACTTCAATACGTATTCAAATATATAATTGCTATAATATTTAAATAATTACATATAAATGTAGATGTAAATAGAAATAATATCGACAATTTTTTTAAGTTCAACACCACGAGATATATCTCTCTATTCACTTTATGTTATAATTCATAATGTCAATTAACTATAACATAATTTTGTATTTACGCGTGTTTTTTGATATTTTTTTAAATAAATAATTTTTATACAGTATATAATTATTATCATAAATAATACTCTTTTTTTAAACATTTTTTATAATTAATTCGTGTATCGTATAAATAATATTCAATACTTTGGATTTCATAATTACAAAAATAAACTACTTACATTCTATAAAAATACTTTAAGTAAACTGCATAAGAGTAGGTATAATATTTTAGCGATTATCAAATTTTGGATAAATATAGCTACTTTTAGAAAGATTTTGATTAATATATAGTTACGTTACAAATAAAAGACGGACGTATCGAAACTATTCGGGGACGGCTCAAGCAGAAGGATGGGAAATTATGCTGAGCATGATGAATACATCAGAACAGGTCGGCTTTAGTCTGGTCTTAGGAGTAGGTCGAATCGATAACAATAACTACATGGACATCTATACTCCTATCACGTACGATGTCAGAGGTTCGTTTATGATGATGGGATTTTGTCAGCCTCATAGATGTAACATGTTCTCGATTACAATATGTGATAAAAATGCGTGAAATATATAATTGCAATTAAATTAAATTTATATTTATAAACATAATATTTTTAATTAAACCCTTCAATAGAGAATACGCATACTTCTTCTAAAATAAATTTCGAAAATAATCGCAACCTGCCAGGGAGACGAGTAATTTTTTACCGACTAGGATGTATATACGTAAAGCATAATTGACTATTTCGGATTTTCCAATTAATAATAATCGAAATTAAATCGCTTGGAGATCAGATTAAAAAATTAGCTGAAATGTGAATCTTAAAACTACAAAATTAACAACATAAAACTATATAAATAATAACGAAAGAAGGCAGGAAAATGAAATATAAATTAAATATTTATGAACATATATATACTTTATAAGAAGACAAGGAGAAAAGGAGGCAATCTTTGCAAAAAGAACGGGCCTTTCAATTTTTAGTTCCGCATTAAATATGCTTCAATTGTCATTTCATGAAAAATACTAATTTACTACGCCATCGCCCTGAAACTTCCTATCGACAAAGATATCGGAAAAAATTGAGTTGCATCAAGAAGGCAATCAAACGTGATGCACAAATTGGAAAACATGGTCCGCGTGGGTCAGCACGCCAAGCGACACTCGCCAAAGTGCGCCGCGGCGCAACCGACAGGACTGCCTCTCTCCGGAGAGCCGAGAAACACCCACGCGAGCCGGAGCAAGGGAGAAAGAGGACGGGGGAGAAAGGGAGAGCCGATTTGAATGGAGATGGAAGATGAACCCGCGAGAGCGGCGCGATAACGCGCGCGACGAGGACAACCCGGCGCTGGAGCGACGGAGAAGAGGTGGCCGTCGAGCCTCGGAGGGAGATGCCACGATGGTCTTCGCAATGCGCCGACTCAGTAGCCGCGTGCTCACCGCGGCCGGAGGGTTTCGCGGCTAAGCGGTGCCGAGCGTCGCACAGTCGCGACGGCAGCCACCGGCGCGCGGTTATACCCCCTTTTCTTCAAACCTGCACACGCAACCCCGCACCGCTACGTACGGCGCACGTTTTGCCTGTCTCCACGACGGCGAAGGAACGTTGCCCCAGGTTGCGAGAGAAAGAGAGAGAGAGAGGGAGAGAGAGGGCGTCTTACGCGGCTGCCCGCCGCAACCCCCCTCCGGCATTCGTCCCCGGAGAAAGAGAGAGAAAGAAAGAGAAAGAGGGAGGGTGAGAGAGACAGAGAGGGAGGGAGGGAGAAAAAGAGAGCGACGTCGCCGTCGGCGTTTTTGAGAATCGTTTGCTTCTCTTCATCGAGAGCGTCGTCCGATCGAGGGCCGGCATCGTTCTTCAACTTCGCGACGGTGCACGTGGCGCGCGCGGCACGCGGTGTTTCAGGAGAAAGACAGATAGATAGGTAGACGGATAGGTGGATAGGTAGCGAGCTAAAGAAGTCGAAAAGGGTGAAAGGAAAACAGAGCGGGAGAAAGAGAAGGAAAGAGAGAGAGAAATATATAGTGGCACGGAGGAAGGAGAGAGAGGTGGAAAAAGGGGGAGAGACAAAGGGGGGCGGGAAGAGAGAGAGAGAGAGAGATAGGGGTAAAGAAACGGAGCACGAGGAACTGCATCCCGGCGGACGGAGCAAGAGTCACCAAAGAGAGCCAAAGGGAGCCTCGTATCTTCCCTCTTGTTTTTTCCGTCAATCTTACCACGTAAAGAAGGACGGAGGAACCGACGGTCACGAGTGAGTTGGCGAGGAGGAAGCGGGACATGCTGGAGCCACGCTGGAGACCCGTCCAGGTAGCCTTACTTCACCCTGCAACACTTCTTCAATGCACTGCCTGCCTGTCTGCCTCGTAAAGGCTCGTTTACATAATGCACTTGCATCACATAAATATCCTCTATTATCCGTCTTTACTTCTCTCTCTCTCTCTCTCTGTCTGTCTGTCTGTCTCTCTCTCTCTCTCTAATGCTTTATCTATTTTATTGGATGCTACTTTTCTCTTTCTCTCTTTTTCTCCTTCTTTCGCCCTTCACTCGATTTTGTTGCGTCTCATTTTTTGTCACCAGCTTCGTTCTTGCTGTTCTTTGCATCGCGCTGTAGTCACTGGTGACAGCCACGTGCCACCGGCGTTACTCTTCGCACGCTGCTGCTGGAATTTGGAGTAATCCTTTTAACGTTTTCCGCTTAACGCGCGCTTTCCTCTACGATTTAGCGTCGGACTCTTTGCTTCTATTCGGCATTTTGCGAATTTAATCGTGCGGTATACTTGTGCGATTTAATTTTTTAAATTTATATTCCGAGAGATACGACTTTAAGCATCGAAATAGATATTTTTTTCGATCAAACTGGGAGAGACACTGACATCTGTAACTTCAAATTTATGCACCGCTTTTTTTCTCATTAATGTTTTGCATAGATGTGTATGTTTATACACGTACAAATTAATATTTGAGACAATCGCTCTTTTTCTCTATCTTGTTACACGTGTGTGTGTGTGCATGCATGTATGTTGTGTGTGCGTATATGTAACAGAGATTACAATTTTTTTCTCGTAATAATACAAATTTACGTCGTTTAGAATCGCTAATATAATTTGATGAGAGGACAGTCATATTGTTTTGTACATTTTAGGATTTACAGTGTATTTTGAAATTTAGCGCTATCACTAAGTTTAGAGTATCCATCGCGCGGCACGATTTCGTCACTATTAATCTTATAAATTACGTTATAAATATCGACATCGCCGCGCGCCGGATTAAATAGAAATGTAAAAGTGCGGATGCAAAACCAGCGAATATTTCGCGCGATTTACTTTAATCGAATTTAGGTCGTGGCAAAAATAGAAGGGACGCAAATGGAAATTATAGCGCGATACAAATTTTCAACTAATCGATCGCTTTCTTAAGAAACGTGCATTCGACGATACTTTATTCGACGTTATTTTTTATTTAATCCAATTTTTCGACGGTTTTAAACACTTGTTTTTTTAGATTGCATATATATATTTTAAAAGTTATCGATTGCGTTGCATTTTGTAAGAAACCTATATATTAACCTATATATTAACTTTCTGTATTTTTCTCGCAATTAATAGTGGTAATCAATGTGTTGTTGCCAAAATTGCGGATATAAAAATAGAAACGTTATCACGTTATCATCGCCAAGCTGCTGCTGCCAAGACGAAATGATTTAGCGAATCCCTTTTGTACCGCCGTTAAATGAATTAAATACGACGTTTGCATAATGCAGACGAATGTTCTTTGCTTCGAGATTTCCTGATTGATCCTATGCTCCACCGACCGGGGCGATATTCGTGGAAATGACACTTTAACGATCGTGACAAGACAAATAGGCGCGCCGGACAAGCAGAATGGTTGGTCAAATAAATCTCACTATACACCGGCCTAAGATTAACTACATTCGGGTTACTAAATATGTACCTGCGTCGGTACAGAAATCTTTGCGGTAAAGCGCATTTTTCCGAAAATAATCTTGGCTCGGAGGTGTGCCGCCTTTCAAGCTGCCTGGAGTCTCTCGAATAATCTAATATCGCATGAATCACCGTGTTATTGGCTGAGGAAGTCCAACGACTTGTTTCGAAACGCTTCTGACAACCTGACAAAAATTCCTATTTCGTGTTTCATCGTCTGTCACGCAACGCCTGACGTTCACCAGGGCTTTGCTACCACGCGAGCAACTTCAAACAAAATGATCAAATGGAGAGATCGGTAATCATTACTCACGTTTGTGAATTATGCTCGAGTTACTTTGAAACGCGCGTTCGCTATATCGAAGTAGCGATCATTTACAACCCCCGTTAAACCCATTTGCGAGTTATAATAGCAAATTTGGTAATATTTATGTAGAAAATTAGCAACAACATTTAAGATGTTTCTCTCGACAAGAGTCGTATTAAAATCTACGTTTCAAAATTACAAATCCCGTGTTGTTTTAGCTAGAGAGAAGTGCATTGTTTACATCTTCAAAATTATAGCTAAAATTAACGTCTTCTGTCTTTAGATATATATTTGATTTTAGAAATTATTTTTAAAATATGAAATAAAATTAAACCCAGAAGATTAATATTTCGGTGCAATCTTTCTTAAAATATAGCAATTTTTTGGAATATAATGCATTAAAGCAATTACTGTTGATGTTTTCTTTTTTACTATTATTAAATAATTCATTTATTTTAAAAAACTTTTTATTTTTATTATTAGCGATGCTTTCGGGTAGCTTTTGCGAACAACATAAAATACTTGCAAAATGGACTCGAATTTACAGCGGCGATGGTTCTTTAAATTTGACAGCGAAATTCTTTTATTGCTTCGAACGAGACATCGGAGATTCGCGCATTCGAAGGGATGAGAGACGCGAAGGGCGATGGCAGTTGCGCTTCAATCGGCAAACGCTCCATGTTATCAGGGAATAGGGGTGCTTTTTTTTTTTAAAGTATACAGCCGATAGAGGTAGTCGGGTACCACCGGTCGTAGCTATGTGTGGGTGGCTCGTCTACGAGATTGTAGAAGCTCCGGATGGTGTAGTAGGTGGAACACTAGAGACGGAGGCGGTCCTACCCTGCTTGGGGGCGTTAAAGAAGTGGATGGGGTTGGCCACCCCCGCGCGTCAACCCTTACACCCCGCTTTCTCCGAAAGCTTCGCGTGCCCCCCCCGGATCTCTTCGATCTCATATTCGCCAATCAGCCGACCCATCCCGCTCCTCCGCCGACGAAGGTTGCCCGGTGCGGCTATCCGGTTTGTCTGGCATCTTCGGTTGACCGTTGATTTCTTGAAAATTCAAAGATCAGCCTGGCGAGCGCAGGAGACGGAGCGAAGACAGCCGGCAGTTCGCGCGGCCAAGCCAAACGTTCGACGGAAGGAACCGCGAGGAACGCTTGTAACAAGTCGCGGCTGCGTGCCTTCCGTTCGCGCGCAGCCGGTTGATCGATTTTGTGTCGTCGGCAAGTGTTTTGTGCGCGATATCTCGTCGTCTTCGAGGATATCGCGAGCGCGGTTCTTCCCGGCTGATGACTTCGGCCCGGCTGTCACGCCTTCTTCACGGTCGCGCTGGGCCGATCAGGCTGACACGGGGAGGAGGGTGGTGTTGCGCGTCAATCGTGATATATATTTCGCATCATCCCCGCCACTTTGGCTTCGCCCATTTTCTCACCTCCTCCGTCGGTTCAGACGTACGTGCCGAGTATGCGTTCGGTGTGTTGCACACACATTCGCCGGTGCATATACACGGATACGCCGAGTGCAGCGGGAGCCAACACAGCTGCGGCATAACCCCCCCGTTTTCGCGCTTGCTTGGCACGGCACAGCATCCCTCTTTGGCCACTTCCGGCCAGGCCAGGCTCCGCCCACTTTTATATTAATCACGTCTTGGTTCGCTCCTGGCTTCTGTTCTCCATCTTTCTTCCCTAGTGAGCGATTTCCTACCGCGGACGCCTGGGAACCACACCTTTGCCCGTTGGCTTATTCATGTCCCGGGCCTTGCGACGCGGACCTCGACGTCTCTTTCTCTTCCTCCGTTTTTCCCCTCTCTTCGCCGTCTTGCTGCCGATCTCGCGGAAATACGGCGACGATGCTTTACGACGTGACGCTGCAAGGCTGATGGAGATATTCACGTAGCTGTTCGCGGATAAGCCTGCAATTCTTGGCTTCGCAAACGCGTCGCAAAGATATATAGTTTAATTAATTTTGATATGGCGAACGATGATAACGATATTCCGCGAGGAATCGACATGAACAAATTAATTTTTTCTCTTTATTTAGAGCTCAAAATTTACCATAATAATTTTTTAAAATCCACCGCGCCATTTAATACATATCTGCTATTGTCATATGATATATTCATTGCTCGCCTATATTATATATATTAATTATAGGAGTTCATCGATAGCTTTTTTTAAAAACACTTGACTTTTTTAAAAAAACCGCGGCTCGTTGAGGATGACAATTTCATAGAGAGAGAGGAAAAACGGGTGAAAAAGCGAATCGTGGAACCAAGCGCGACGAGATGAAGAACGTAGCGTTTCGTGCGTTCGGTGCTGGAGTAATGAATAATAACCTGTTATTATTACCACACATACAGGTCGAGCAATAAACACGCAGCTCGCGCCCCTCATGTCGGAATAAGGCTCGTCACGCATAGGCGCGACATTTGTTTCGCGCGTGGAGTTTGCCGATTGTTATGAACCACCGCCACCTTCCTACACAACAGATATTGGTTCCATTGTTACGTCGTGTATCGTGACTGCTTCTCCATCGTTTCCGCCAGTCGCAAACACTTCGCCACCACTTGGGCCACTCATTGATATTCCACCTCGTGGTCTCTTCGCTTTCAATTTTTCTTTTCATAGTCCCGCACCCCGAATAACGGCGCCGATAACAGCGTTGTATTGTCGAGATAGTTTGCATCGATGATTGTATACATCGGGCACTCGAATTCGTTTCCTACGATATCGCTTTTCAAGCGATCTTTTTAACGGGGATGGACGGAATATAATATTGCTTTATTCGATAATGTGTAATTATCCGTGAAAATTTGAATTAATTTAAAGAGCTCTTGGATTTTTCATAGGATAGAGTAATTTTTACAACTCAATTTTTGACTAAAAAACGAAAGATTCATACCTGTTTGTAGGTACAATGTTAGCATGAGATATTCATCGTTACACATTCTATGTCGTGACCACTATTTCCCGACCTACCACACCTTACTACTCCCTTTTTAACATCGCGCAGCAAGTCTGCTGTTTTCACTCCGACGATCTTAATCGTAGCATGCTAC